TATGCAACTCATTAATACATCTGGATTATCAGACTGCTGCCGCGGGAGCTTGGCATCCACACTGCTGAAGGTAAAACAGCTGTTGTGATAATGACAATGCAGCATCTTTAACGAATAAGAACTCATTTAATCAAATTGCATAAAAATGTCAGGAAGAATTTGTCTGGCTGGTGATGCTCACTGATCGTCATTAATATAGTTCAGGTAACTCATTGATCTTCTTTGACAAATGACGTTAATCTAAAATTAAACTTAACTCCTGGAGGTTTAATTTAGTCCTGGAGTAGCTCCAATTCTTCTTCAGGAAATCTGTTTAAATAATCCAGGACTAGGTTAAGTCTAGGTAACGGATGTCCAACATAAGGCCTGGGGGCCAGAATCGGCCTGCATTGTAGAGAAACTGAGACTTTCTGTTTAAATTCTTTTTTTCTTCTCTTTCTGATATAAAAATATCTCAGGAATTAAATGTTTAGTTAAATGTCTTTATACTGACAGAAAGGGCAGCTTTACTGGTCCAGCCCTCTTATGATACTACTTCAAGCCACAACTAAGAAAGCTGGTTTAAGTGGCTTCTGATTTAACACCAGTCGTGGAAACCACCCCATTATTTATTTATTTTTCTTACTCAAGTCCAAGTACTCAAATTGAGCTCGATGGGCCCTTTGTCTCAGAATTAGCTGAATGCTTGCAGCATTGAAGGTTTTCTGAGCATTGGAAAACTGAGCTTTGTTGCTCTTTTAATTAACCTATAGTATAAATATTATAGCTGCCGTACTTCACCAGCCACAGGGTTGTTCACCTGTCTTTTCACCCATTCTATTTATGTGAATGTGATTTATCTTGAGGGGAATTTCTTCAAATGTATATATTTGGTGGACATGGGTCAGGGTAACTGAGACCTCAAAGCCATCCTGATTTTCTTTCTTATTTATATTATGTCTGAGACAAACATCCACTTGGACTCAAGGCTGGCCTGATGATAATTTGGTGGTTTTTCTGTTCATTATTCAATGCAATAACTCAAGAACAGAATGAGAGTTGGAACCTGGTTGGAGGAAGCATACAGATGTTATTCTAGTTTTAATTCGTCCTGAAATTCTGTATCAGTGCATCTAAAAGAAACAAGGATAACAGATCCTTCCATCCACGTGTCACAGCTCGGCTTGGACGCTGCATAATTTGCCCCCATTTCCTGAACTTTTAACGTGTTTACTGCATCAAAGTTGTGAAATATCTGGGATTGATTTATGCTCTTGTGCTTTCGTCCTGGAGTCTTGTGAGTCACCCTAAGTTGTTTTACCTGATGCTTGTCAGTGGAAAAGAATGCTATTTCTGTATACCACATGACAAAGGTAATGGGTGCAATTTTTCACCCAGCAAGGATAGAGAGATTGATGAAGGTTGATGGGGAAGGAAAGGTGTTGAACAAAAAGAGGTTGGGGGGGAAAATGAGATGCATTAAGACGAAAGAGGTGAGAGAAAAAGTCAATACAAACTCCCCCTCCCTTATCAGTCTCTTCCATTGTTCCCCCTAACAGATTGCAAGCCGAGTGTTTATAATAAGAGGCAGACTGCAATATCCAAATGTTTCTCACTGGTGATATGTAGCTAAGAGAAAGGGTGGCTTTTAATGAGATTTTCTTTGTAAGAATGGATACAGTGGGATGGGTTTGTCTCCAGTTTTGACCCTGCACAATGCTGGATGTGAATCTTGTGTCTGTATTTCTAGAAAAATGGCAAAAAGAAAAATTTATTTTTGCAGAGAGAAATACTGGTACATAACCATAAAGTTCTTCATAACATCTGCTGTCTATTTGTTGCAAAAATAAAAGGTTAAAGTCCCAGTCATAGAGGACTAGAGGTGTGGGTAATCATGTGGCAACCAATCATCACGAGGGAAAAATGTGTATTTCTTGACCAGTTGGCAAGTGGTTGCTGAAAGACGATGGAAGCTCCTGTGTATTTTCCATGGAAGAGTCCAACTTTTCTGCAGCAACTGAGCTGTAGGGACTGTGAAAAGTGCAACACAAACTGGAAATGGAGAATTTTACCTTTAAAAAGAAAGTTGGAACTTTTTCTTTGAAAGCAAACGTTTTTTTTATTTGTTTGTTTGTTTTTTAAATGAGAAATCTCCAAGCGACCATAGCAAGGCGAACACAGTACGCTCTTTGCAACCTGGCAATGGACTGTGATCTCTAAGAATCGCATCCCTATCAGTCAGGGAATGTACTTTTTTTTTTTTTCCTCATGATTAGCGGTTGCCAGATGGGTGCTGATTGTTCTTGCTCATGTGACTGAGGCCCGAGATGCAAATCTACAGGCTGCCCACCCACTACACTCAAATCACAAGGTGCCACTCCTCCATGTGTGGTGAGATAGATGTTAGACTGTCTCCTGTGCAGTATGTGCAGTAGATATAGATATACACTGTCTGGCTGGCCACGACATTAAAAACACTGACAGGTTAAGTGAAAAACATGAATCATTTCATGTTATTTTGACACAAACCGCCAAACTTCAGCATAGCTGCACACTGACAGAAACTGCAGATAATCCTCCAGCGAGATAATGCCTTGCACCGTATCGCACAATCAGCTTAGGTATGGTTGGAGGAACCTGAGCAAAAAGTCCAAGACACTGACCCAGCCTACAAACTCCCATTGCCTAAAGGATTAACTAAA